AATTTTTAAATTTCAAAATATTGATTTTATATACTCTTACTATTCTATTTCATATTTTTTTTTTGTTGAAATTTTAATATTTTATAGAAAAAATTATTAATTTAAATAGAATATCCATTAAAAAAATGATCAATGAAAAAAATAATTCAATGAAATAATTGATTCAAAATTAAATATTAATGAAAATACTTTCAAGCAAATCAAAGCTTTTTTGTGAAAATTTCTTCTATCAAAATATATTTGATAGAGGAACATTTTTGAAAATGTAAAATAATTTAAAATTTGTATTTTGATTTCAAAAACACCTTGTCATGAAATGTCTTTTCGCACATAGTATATATATTTAATATATTTTTATATAAAAAAATAAAACTATATTTTTACTATTTTGAAAATCAAACAACTAAATCGTAAATTACAAACGAATATTCAAATAAATAATAATATGATAATAAATTATTTTATTATATAATATTTAATATTTATTATAAATTATTTAACATTTACAAATATTCATTTAAATATATTCTAGTAGTTATATAATTTTAATAATATAACTTAGAAATTATCATATAATTAAAGTATTAATATTCAGAAGCACGATGTAAGAAAATTTAGCTAAAGTAACAAATAAAATGGAGAGAAAGATAATGTTATTATTCACAAATATAATAAATATTACTTACTATTAGATGCGAAGAATTTGCATTCAATCAGTCTTGTCATTGACATCAAAAATTATAAAAGCTGAGAAATATCTGTAACAAAAAATGAAACATTATAATTTACAAATGTAATTGAATGAAAATTGAATTTTTAATAAGATATAATGATATAATAAAAGTTAAATTTAAAATTTAATTTAAAAATTTGAATTTTCTAATGTCTTTATTTTTAAATAAAAGAATAAAAAAATATTTAGATAAAAAAAATTATAATTATTTCTTCAATAATTACTTCGATGAATAATTACATTATTCTTTTAAGAAAAGCATCGATTTTATTGTATATCGAAAATAAATATTTAAAATATTTAAAATAAAAAATAAAGATAGAAAACTATTAAACGCGTCCGTTTATGTTGTATAATCAATGAACAATCATTCATTTTGATTTTATGTATGTTTATTGTAATTAAATTTAATTAAATTTATTATTTAAAAAATATAGAAAAATATTTAACGTATTAGAAATTCGAAAATTTTTATAAATTATTCTTCAAAAAATTATATTTTTTATAATAATATTCAATAAATAAATCGAATGCATATTAGTAAAATAATAATCAATAAGAAGCAAAGAAATAACTATTAAATAATTACGCAATAGATAGATCATGTACTTGAAACAAAGCATTTAACTATCACGAGTTTCGATAACAAAATAATATCTTGCAATTTCGATGTATCGAATTACAAATTGAGGAGGGAATATGCTCAACAATTCGACAAGTTAGAAATATCGAACGAATGCAAACCATCAACTTCTTGGAAAGACTGAACTATAAGAAATGTTTTCAACCTTGGATCACAAAAAGAGAAAATATAAATGGATAGAATATTTATAAAAGATATACATAAAAATATATCGATTATAATGATCTCATTATTACTTCTATCTTTATATAAATAAAAAGACAAAAGAAAACTTTATAAGAACTTTATAAAAATTATGTTTCTATTAAAATAAATAAAATCCATATTTGTATAAAAGTTAAATTATTTTTTAATTATGATGATATACTGGTATACAAAACTATTATATTTTCAAAGCTATCTCGCCTTCGAAAAATCAAACGATAATTTGCCATAAAAACATTATATAATAGTGATTATACTATAAATATTATAAATATTAATTAAACAAGGCTTAATTAAATAATCTATAATTAAACTTAATAATTGTAATATAATATGTTACTAATAAAAATTTATTATGTATAAAAAAATATGTTACTAATAATTGTAATATATGTTACTAATAAAAATTTTATATTACGTACATTTACTGGTAAAACGAAACATCTACCTATCACAGTGCTTTTCAACTGTAGACTGATGACATGCGTATTATGATGTATACTGATTTGTTTTGTTGGAGTTCTTTAGCAATTTTCTGATTGGTTGGAGTAGTTTTCTAGTTATTTTAACGGCGCGAAAATTGAAGTATAATATAGATTTCTATACATGGAAATTTTACAAAAATATCCTGATTAAAAATATAATAAAAATTATTATAATTAATTTAATATAAAAATTATCTAAATTAAAAAATTGAAATATTTAAAATCAGAATTGATCAAATTTGATAAAAATATAATGTAAAACAAAAGTTGATGTAAAATTAAAAAAATACTAAAACGTCATGAAAGAATAAATTTTTTAAGATAAATATTAAATTAAAAAAAAACTGAAAAATAAATAAAAAAAATTATATAAAATAGAATACAAATAGATCTTTATAAATAAATTGATCGTAATTTTTTGCTCTTATGCATATAAAGATTATTTCAAAAAATCACTGATCATTTACAATAAAAACCGTACTATAAATTCATATATAATAAAGTAATAATTACATACATAGCAGTAAATATAAAAATAATTGTATCATAGAAATATAAAAATAAAAAATATGCTAAACTCACAATTTATTGTCTTTTTTATTAAAGCATCATGATACTTAATATTAAAGTTAATTAATTTTTTTATATTTTATGTTTCTTTTTATTTTATCTTTTTTTATGATAGATATATGATATGTAATTTATATTAATTTGTAATATAGATTAATGTAATATTGATAAAACAAATTAAAAAAGAAAAGTTATGAAATTAAAAAATTAAATAAAATTCAAAATGAAGGAATTATAGTTTGCTTTAAAAATTATTGAGATTTTGTTTAGAATTGTTCCTATTTTAAATTTTTATATCTCATGCAATCATTTCCATATAGTTTATTTTCAGAAATAATTAAAAATAATCCGCTTTAATTTCATTTATATATCTATCTCTTGATAAACAATATTAACAATAAATTTTTTCTAACTATGTTATTTTCAAAATAATATAAAAATAAAATGAAATTAACTAATATTAAAATTGTAATATTAAAAGATTTCTTTAACAAACAATAGTTATAAATTACAATTTTCAATTTAACACAATTTAAGAAGAACACAACAAGTTATATATTCTTAATTTTCATTTTTAATCAAATTATTGTTTTTAATAGAATAAAATCATATAGAATAGAAAAAAATTAAGTAAATATTTATTTGAAATAATAAGCAAAATAAATTTTTTTTCGTCAAATATTTTTTCGAATATTTTATTCCTATTAAATTATTTTTTTTATTTATTCAAATAACTCATTATTATTTATTTAATAATTTATTTAAGTAATAAATGCAAAAGTCTTTGAATAACAATATGAATAATTAATAATTGATTGTAATATAATACATATTCTTCTTATTTCTTTCACGATCAAAACTAGAGAATCTATCTATTTATAAAAATATTCAAATAAATTTTATATAATAATAGATGATATATGTAGATGTATATATATTATATAAAAATAGATGTAGCTACATGTAAAAATAAACATGTAAAATGAAAAATAAAATTTTTTTAATATAAAGTTTAATTTCCGAAAAAATCAATTTATAAATTTTTCAAAAAAATATCTAACAATATGCTTGACTGACAAATATGGCTACAAGACTGATTAAATAAGAATAGATATAAATAAATATAAATTAGAGACGAATACTTCAGTTAAAAAAAAATTTTGTATAATTATTGAATAATTATGTCTATTATTAAAAGTATACTTTAAATTAATCAAATCTATAGGATATTTCAATAACAATGTTAACATGTAGAATAACTAACGATTTTTAACTCGATTACATGCTAACCGATGAGAGATATGTATCTAGGTTAAAATTTGCTTTAAAAACTAACCATAAAAGAACCGAGCACGCATGCCAGAACATGTTGTGGTTACTTTTTTTAACGATCATTGACACTCATTGACGGTTTCGAAAAAAAACTCGAATATTTTCGATCTTTGAATTATACAAATATATATATATGCGCTGTTGTATAAAATTTCCATATAAATTCTAATATAATTCTTTCATTAATTCAATATTCCATTATTTTAAGAATATTTCTAATCTATTTTTAATTATTAATATTTTTGTTACATTAAAAATATTAGAGAAATTATAAAGAACTAATATAACAAAATAACATATGGTATGTGTGTGTGTATATATATATATATATATATACATATATATATATGCGCGCGCGTGTGTGTAAGGCAATGTACTTTGTAGATGAAAAATATCTTTTAGAATTACCATATCGTTTTTAGCGCGTTAAGTGTAACAGTGCATAAAAGTGCCACCTGTTACTGACTTTACCGGTACTGCACCGTTAGAAATAATATTGATTATAGACTCTCATTTAGATATTTACATTTCTATTGTTAAAACAAATTTTTAATTTTCATTTTGATTCTTTCGAATACATATTTGTAATATATATATGTATATATATAGTTCATATATTATAACTTTCTTTCTAAATATATTACATTTTCTTTATGTTTCATTATTATTTTATATTTATATTATTAAAGCTATAATGTAAATAATAAACATAAAGTATGAAAATGTATTTATATGAGTATTTATAATATATATTTATATATATTATTTATAATATAAAAATTTAAATATATATAATAAAATTACTATTTATTTTTTTTATCATATAAATATCGTTTCATATAACACAAAATAAATCTTTAAGTAAATGGGATATATAAATTGAAAATACAATTTATAAAGTACATAATGAGACAATTCAACATTCTTGAATGATTACAAATGAAGAGCATGTTCTGAGTAAGTCTGACGTATCACGCTATCATAGCAGTTTCTGCGACAGACGCACTGACTCACCGGTTAGTATTTGTCGAACAGTGATACAATGGAGTTCGTTTCTTGATTTATAAACTTCAAATGTTAAAATCAATTAGTGATAATATATTATGTTATTTATGTGTATTGATATAACGTGATTAGTGATATTAGCTATTATATGTGTATAAGTGATTCTTTCATTACTTTTTGTCATATATATAATTATTATTGAGAAACAATCAGGTGTTTATTAAGACATATACTATCAAGACGTGGTAAGTAATCGTGGAAAAATTGTTTAGTTTTTGTATATCAATACGTAATCAAATAAATTATTTATCAAATGAATTATATACAATACGTAATCAAATAAATTATATACAATATGTAATCAAATGAGTTATTTATTTCATTTTAATTTATATATATATGAAATAAATATAAATATAACTTGATTTTTTTGAATGTAGAACTATATATGGAAATTATTAATAATCAATAAGTAATAAAATATTATTAATGAAAATATATTTTTTTTATAAATTATTATTTATTCAAGATATTAACGGAATAATATAATAAATAGTATATATTATTTCTAATAATCATTTTTGTTTTAATATAAAATAAAATTAAATGCACTTGGTAAGGACAAATTTTGAAAATTTAACTTATAGTATAATATATGTAACTCGATATTCCAAATTATTAATTTGTACCAACTATTGAACAAATTTTTTTTTTATTATATAAAAATTTACAATAAAAAATTTACAATAGAAAATGTCAAGAAATATATATTGCAACAATAATAAATAATATTTTAATATCTATTTTGATATCTATTGATATCTAAATTGTGATATCTGTTTATTTATTCTAAGATTAGAATTTGAAAGTTTGAATTTCATTTTGGAGAAGTACTAGAAAGTTATAGATATAAGAAAATTTTCAATACATTTTATTCATTAATTAATTGTTTTTATTAAATATTAGAAAATATTTATCTATATTAATCTATAATTTTATCATGATAAGATAAAATCTTGATAAGATTATATACATAATGTATTTTTTCATTAAAATTTTTAATTCAAATTATTTTAAATATTTATCTTATATAGTTTTTATCTTATAATATATATCTTATTTACAATTTAAAATTTTTATAATTAATAATAAAAGTATTATATAGAAACATGAATAGAATATGTATATATTTTACGTATTCCTTATTGGAAATACAAATGGTTATTATACTTTTGAATATATTTTTAAATGGATCAATAAAATAATAAAAAATTATTAATACATTAATAAAAGCAAAATACAATCTTTTAAAAGATTTTTGATTTAAGGATATATTTTATATTAAAATAAAATTTTATAAAATTTCAAAATTCTACGGTATTCTTCAAAATTAGTATGTTCTATTATAGCATGACTATTATTTTATTATTATTTTATATGTGGAAAATCTATGTTATTATGTTATTATTATATTATTATATAACATAACATAATATATAATTTATTTCAATAAAAATAACTTTCTTATAGATATATAAAGTATATAAGATCATATACGTATATCAAATATAAAGTTAATTTATTCATTAACTTCTATTTAATTTTTAAATTTCAATTTTAATTTCATCAATCATTAGATGATTTGATTTAAAATTATATTACTTATTGGGAATTAATTTAAATTAATTTAAATTTGCTTCATTTTATAAATAACTATAAAATAGTAAATTTATGCTTTTTTTAATAATAATAATAATATTAATTATATAATAATATAAAATACTAAATACATTTATATTATATTATTATTAAATTTATATTATTATTATATATTATATATTAATATTTATATATTAATAAAATTATTAGAGCTCAAATCACTTTTTACTACTTCTATTATGGCATTGAAATACTCTTAAATAGTAGTTAAATAATAGTTGTAAAATAATAATTACATATAGTATATATTTTGATTATAAATGAATAAGAATTATGATATGTATATATTTATGATATAATATATATTATTATATATATGATAAATATACAGTTTTGATAAAACGATTATGAAAATACATGTATGATATATTCTTAATATTTTTATAAAGATAATTTTTATTTAATTTGAATATTTAAATTATATATTTTTAAAAACATTCACAAAAAATGTTATGTTAATATCAAAATATTTCATATCTAATGTAAAAAAGTAATGCAAAAAAGTTATAATATTGTTTTTGTTGTTATTGTGATTTAATGTATGAAAAATTATAGTATATATGATAATTAAAATTAAATATACTAAATAATTTTGTTAATGAAAAAAATTCTTATTTTTTTATGATATGGATTTTAATTAATATAAATGATATAAATCATTGAATTTCATTTAATTAAAGAATGTCCATCTATTTCATATATATTATTATTATTTATTTATTTAAAATCTATTGACATATAAAATTAAATATTCTATCATATTAATAAAATATACATATTAAATGTATCTATATATTTTAAATAAAAATAAATTTCAATAAAGATATATGTATTTTAAAATAAATAACGAAAAATTATAATAAATAAATAGTCAATTCAATTTTTGAATTCAATTTTAATTCCTATTATAAGTAAATTTTGTTTTTAAAATTGTAATATATATTAAAATTATTATTATTATTATTATTATTATTAAAAATAAAAATAATTAATAATTTTATAATAAAATATTTAAAAATATGTTAAATAAAGATAAATTATAACAATAATTAATATATGATATGATTTGTTAAATACTGGCAAATCATAATATTGAAAACAATTATAATATTGAATAATCGGACATCCGTATTTAATACGGTATAATTTATGTTGAAACATTTCGTTACCTTGAACTCAATAAATCCGACGAGAAAAATATATACCTTGAAAGAAATAATTATCACCATTACTTTATTATATCATACTTTATTATATATTATCTTCGTTCGTTCTGTATATTATATTATAATTTTACAAATAAAAGGCAATTAACTTCTTAAATATTTAGAAAATTTACTTAAATTTTAAATTTAACTTATTTTTGTTTCTTTCCATATATAAGATAAACACTTTGTTTTTGTGGAAAAAAATATCATAAGAAAAAATTATTTATTTAAAGAGTTATATATTAACAAATATATTTATGTTAAAATGTTAGGATTTCAAGGATTGATATTTTATTTTGAAGAGATTAAATATTTTTATTAATATGATGTAATAATTGAAATCAAAATGAAATCTAATGATTTTGTATATTATCTTTTATTACATAACTTTAAATACGAAATAAAAAATAATTTGAGAATATGAAATGAAACGAGATTAGACAAAGTATTTAAACTAATACCAATTTAATTATTGATATTGTTCATTAACATTTCTTTTTTTATTATAAAATTTATTATTTCATTAAAAATAAATGATTTTTTAGTTCTCGATATATTTCTAGAAATCTATAATTATTTGAATCTTAACTAATTTATAAAATTTTTAATTTATTATAACTTGAATATCAATCATGTATGTAATATCAATGTAATTATGAAAAATTATTATCGAATAAATTATAAATTCTATATTTGTACATAAATTTATCATTTTGTTATTACGATTAATTCTGTTTAAAAAATTGTAATTGTTAATTATAAAAGATTATATTATTTATATAATTTATATTATTTATATGAAAAAGAATAGTGTAGTATTAATAATGGTATAACTAAGTATGAAGTTGAATTAAAATTATTTTGATTTATAATGCTACTGTAAAAATAAAAATTTTATACAAATAATTTAATTGCACATAAGAATTCTAAAAAAAGTCATCAATATCTTTTTTGAAATGTTTTTTTTTAACATTTTTTTCTATCATCATAAATAATATATAAAGCAATATATATTGACAAAAAAAATCTATAATGATAAATCAAATTCAACAATTCTAAAAATACGGTGAAGTTGACAAAAATATTTAAAAAAAATTACTTTTTTTGTACAATTAAATATTATATAATAACTAAAATATGTAGTTTGTATTCATTATATTTTACATCGTAAATTTAAATGGTAAGTAGTTTTTATTAATTCTTAAATTTGAAATCAATACACATATATATAGATTATTGAATCTATATTATCATTTTATTGCATCTATTTCTTATATAAATAGATCTATTTTGTAAATAAAAATATAAACTGTTATACAAACAAGTCAAATTTATAAATAATGATCTGTTAATTTTCTTCTATATTAAGAAAAAAACTTTAAATGAATATGTACATACAATTTGAAAATTTTATCGCGAAATATAATAATAAATTATGAAAAATAAAATTTATTCTTAAAGTAATAAAATAATTCTAATTTTTATTGAGATTAAGATTATGATTTTAAGATAATCGACATTTTTTTATAAAATGATATGTATTTACTAATATAATGATATAAATTCTTTTTAATAAAAGAAAAACAAAGATAAACTTTTAATATAATTTAGAATCAATTCTCTTAAAATCAATATGTTCTTATTTTGATGTAACACAGCAATGACTTCCTATTCTTTAGTTTCATTAGCTTTTAGCAAGTAAGTGTTTCTGTAACATATAATTGAATGATCCAAAGTGATCATTATTAATAACTAATCAATTAATGTTTATTTTTAAGACATATGCAGATTAATTTTAAGACTATATAATTCTCTAAAAATTGAATATTAATTAATTTAAATTACAAATAGTTTAATACAATTTTTCTTATTTTATTATATTTATTATATTTTATATAGATTGTTTTTTCCTATTAAACTATTTTGGATTATTTTGTTTTCTGTTTTAAAATTTTTATTTATATTAGAATTAATATAAATAAAGGGGAAAAGGAGAAGAGGTGTATCTGAATTTTGAATTTAGGAAAAGAAATATATGATTAATAGATAAGACTTTTCTTCATTGTGAAAAAAGGTTGTATTAAACAATTACCAAAGAAAAATATTAAATTTTTGAATTTAGAAAGTTTAGAGTTTAGAAAAGAATATGATAAGAATAAAATAGCTTTCTCAGTGATATTATAAGTTGATATGATATTAAAATGATATTAAAATTATTAAAATGAGAATTAAATCTTTCATTTAATTTATTAAAAAAAAATAAATTAAAAAGAATTATAATTAAGAATTATTTAGAATTATAAGAATTATTTATTTATATTAAGAAAAAGAATTATATTAAATAATGAAAATTAAATAACAAATTAATTATATAAGATTAGAATAGATTTTAATTATTTTTTATTATTTAGAATTTATTAAAAATAAAATAACTAAATAAGAAAATTTGTATAATAATAATAATAAATGTAACATATATATAATATATGTATATAATTCTTATTATCAATATTACAAAAAAAAAAGAAAATCATAAAACTTAAATAAATAAATTAAATTAAATAAATTTAATTTCTAAATTAAATTAAATATCTTTTTCAATATGTAAAGTATATGTAGAACATTTAATGATTGAGTTTTCAATCTTACCAAAAAAAATTATATATATAATTATTGTCATCAGCAAATATAGGTTAGAAAAGATCATTTCGAAGATCGAATGATTTTTTGCTATTCATCTTTTATTTTATTTAAAATGTGTTAATGTGAACACTTACATATATGTAAGTCTCATGTGCATTAAGGAATAAATAGCGACAAGAAACTAAGAGGGATAATCGTAACTATGATGTAAGGGATGGAATTATTACTTTTTGATAAAAGATCGCGAATTCGAATTCTGTTAATATTTTCTCATTTTTGTTTTAATTTAAAAATATTATATCATAGATTTCATAGATAATTTAATATTTTCTGATTTAGTAAAAATCTTTTGCAATATAAAAATGACTTTAGTTTTAAAATTTAAGATTAAATATATATTTCTTTTTTTTTTTTCTTTCATTGTTTCTTATTGAATTTATATGAAGCTGAAAAGTATATGATTGTTTTAATACAATGAAAATGCATTTCACATAACAATAAATTGTACCTTTAATTATGATATTATTTGTGAATATTGGAATATTGTTCGTCATCGTACAAATACTCTCATAGCATTGAATTTTATTACATTAAGATATTACATAAAAATTCTTATAATGCGATATGAATGTGATTTTGTCATGATATTTTCATCATAAAAATGAAAAGTTTGTCACGATTGAATTTTGTATCATAATTTTCAATATTTCGCAATTAGATTTAACTCAAATTTTATTTGTATTTTTTTTTTATTTTTATTTTTCTTTTTCTTCAATATTATGAAAAGTTTGTGATAAAAATTATATATTATAAAATATTACAAATATTATAAATATATAAATATAATATATCATGATTGCAACATCTATAATATATATCATCTATAATATAATAACATTATAGAAAATATTTCTACAACATAAGAGATATATATTCTATGTTATACGAAACCAAGAATGCAAAAAGTTAGAACTAAATAAGTAGTTTTTTTTTAAATAATGTGCATTTTATTTTATTTTAAAACAAGAAGAATATAAAATTTGTTTTTATATGTATAGAATAACTTAAAATAAAAACTATAATTACTATTAGAATACTATATTACTATTAGAATATAATAATATTGTAATAATACTATTATTAGAATACTAATTACTATTAGAATATGTCGTCTTGTATTATTTTTTTAAACATAGTTTCATTTTTATATTTTCCAAATTTTTCTTAATATAAAGAATTATATGAGGATAGTGCAATTTATATTAAGAGAATTTATATTTCATTAAATTGAAATCATATGAAAACACAGAGATTTAAATCTTTATTTTTAATTTGAAATTATTTAAACAAAATTTAAAGTTTCCAACCAATTTTTATAAAAATTATCTTTGCAAAAGAATTTTTTTCCGTAGTTATTAATGATTAAAAGATTATTAATTCGGCAGTTTATGTTATAATTATATAGTTATAATTATTGATATAATTTAATAAATTTCTTTTCAATAAAGTTTTTCAATTTTTATAATATTAAAAATAGATGATAAATTCAAATACTCTTTATGCTTTACATATACATATATATATTTTATTATACATATAATAATATCCTAATAATATTTAATAATATATATATATATAATATTTTTTAATATTAATTTATTCTTCAAATTTTCTAACAACGTCACCTTTCTTTAAAATCTAAGATAATTAGGTAGAAAATGCGTCATTATAATTCATACATATTTTATTAAAATTTATTTATTAAAATATTTTTATTCATTTTGAAGATTGAAAAAAACAATCATAGTTTTTATTCATTTTGAAGACTGAAAAAATAATCATAGTTATGATCGTATTAATTTTTTATATAATTGAAACGTATGCAAATATTCAACTAATGCATATATAAAGAGAAAATATGTTATGTAAGATATTTTGTACCAAATTATATATATAAGGACGAACTTAATATTTTAATATTTATTCATTATAATATACATATAATAAATATATATATATATATATATATACATTTATCATTATCATGTTATATAATAAATTTTACTTATCATATATTTATGATTATATCAGTATTTTTTATTATATATATATTTATTTTTATATAATATAAATAATAAATTTTTTTATTGTATGTTTTTATTGTACAAATTTATGTTGTAAAAATAATTTTTTATTAAATTTAATATTATTCAATTTTATTAAATTGGTATTTTCTTACTACTGTTTCTACAATCATATCTAAAATATATAACAAGTAAATTGATTAAACAACTATTTTCTTAAAGATTTTGATAAATTTGAAATATTTAATGTCTTATCCATAGCGAGTTTGGATGTTCTCTCTTCAATAAATCTTTTAAGTTTATATTTATTATATATTATTTAAATTTTATACAGTATGTATTATGATACATTACTGTAATATAATATCATATCATACATATATGCAACAATATATTTATCGTTATATTATATTATTATTGCATATCAAATATCATATCAAAATAAAAAATGTAAAATGTTTTATGATATATCAATCAAGGCAATTTTTTATGATAGAAATTAGAAAACCGAAAAAAATGCAATGTTTTTTATCTAAATTAATTTATTAATTTAATATCATGTAAATTTTTTGATGTGTCAAACAAAGAATCAACAAATTATATATCGATTTCATTATTTATCATAGAATTTTTTTTTGAGAAACAAGATAATTTTTATCATTTTATTTATCATTTTATTTAAATCAATCAAATAATTCTAAAAATAGAAATTCATTAGTATCTCTTTTACTTTTTATTATTGAATAATGGACATGTTAATAATTTCTTTAATCGTTTTTTATATAATTATTATATTTTTAATTATGTTATTTTATATTAGCTGATGTAAATTTGACGATTTCAAATAAAAATCAATTTTCTTTAGCATTATATAATCTTATCTTATTAATCTTTTTTTACTTTTGATATTTATTATTTTTTTTAATATAATTATTTTATATAATTATTTTAATATAATTTTAATATATAATATTTTTATTAAGAATTAAATATTTTATGTTTAAAAAAATATGTTATTTATTTATAAAATGATCGTAAATTATTTTCAACTATAGTTCGGACTCTTCTGTAAGATGATTAATCTGAAATTGTATTCATAAGTACATATATATTCATATACTTTTATATATTCATTCATATAAACGAAATTCTATTAATTTTATTAATCATCTATCATATTTTATTTAATAAATGCTGTAATGTAACGATGATATTTAATGATGATATGATATGATATGTCATAAATACATATTTGAAAATATTTGTTTTAACTATATTTAAATTATATTAGTTTATTAAAAAAATATATTAGTTTATTCAAAAAAATAGTTTTTATTTATTTAGTAATTCTATTCAATCCATATTACATATAATATTTTTAGATAAAATATATACTTTCAATTGTGAAGAAACCTTTAACATATATAAGGTTGCATCTGTCACAAGCAACAATACTGTGTTATATCATTTGTCTTCCACTTTTGTCCTTAATATTCGAATCATTGAATCGATAACTCAAACAATAGTGACATAATTTATTTTTTTGTATTTGTTTAAAAATATTGAATAAATATAATTTTAATATATTATTGTTACAACTATTAATAACTATTAACAACGTAGTCAATTAAATAATTAGTTTCATATATACATATATATTCTGTTTTTTGAAAAAAATTTCTCCACATCACATTATCAAGATATTTCTAAAATATTATTATTATCATTAAATATAAATAATATAATGTAAAACTTTTTATATATTTGTGTATTTATAAGGAGTTAGAAAAAAAAATAATAAATGAAAGAAAAAGAATTGAAAAATTAAGACTCGTTATTAAAAATGAGATAATATTAATGTAACAATAAAATTTTTTTATTTTTTATTTTTTTTCAATTTTTTTAAAATTAATTATCGAACAATAATAACTTTTTTCTTTGCATTGATTTTAATTAAAAGTAAAAAACTAAAAATAAAGAAATTATATTAATATTATTTCATTGTTATTAGTATTGTTTTATTTTATTATTATTTTATTATTATCTGATCAAAATGAATTTTTTACAATAATACTATATATTGATTTTGTAATTATAAAATATTTTATTGTAATATTATGTTTAAACAAATTTTCCCACATCTTTATTATTACATTATTAAAACATTAAGCAAATTCTTAAAAAACAGAAGAAATTATTTTTTCTGATTATTCAAAGCGAATGTAATATAGATATAATTATTATAAATTATTATGGAATATTTCTTTTTCGTTAAATGTGTGACATTTCATTAATACCAATAGAATATTTTTATAATATCCATTAAATTTGAAAAACATAAAACTAAAAAGAAATGACTAATATACTAAAATATTTTTGTTTCAGATGTATCATTGGCAAAGTCAAAATGTTAAGATTTCTGGAGTGGATGATATGGTTTTGCTCCCGAAAATTACCGAAGATGCTATTACTGAAAATCTTCAAAAAAGATATATGGATGATTACATATTTGTATCCTTAGATAATTTTTACAATAATAGCAATTTTTTTAAAATATTTTTTTTTAAATATTTATTTTTTTAAATATTATTAATTATTTATTATTAATTATTATTTATCATTTTTTGAAAAATAATCGAAGGAAAAACTTAGATTTGAAAATTATTATATTTTATAAAATGTTTTTTTTTTAATTATATGAAATATAAAAATAAGCTGAAAAAAATATTTAAAAAAGTAAAAAGAAAATATTATATTATTAAATATTAACTTTTTATTATTTTTGAAAATTATAAAATATGACGTTTTTCAATTTTACTTATCAATATTTAATAATTTTATATTTTTATATCAATCGAATGAATATCAATTTCAGTTATATAGGAAAACAAAGAATAACCAATTAAGAATATCAATTTTTCATATCATAGCAATTACCAACGTTGTATGCATATAAAAGAAGGATATTATTTGTAAGATTGATTCTATACAAAACAATACAAGATGTGAATACAATATTTAAAATGTTCCTTGTTTTCTTATATGTTTTTTCCTATGTGAAAATGTTAGCAATTTTTTCCCATTGAATTATCGTTCTATGCTTTTCTACAATTATACCATCAGATCAAATTTTAAGATCATATTTTATGTATATATATAACAGTTTTAAGCATTTGTTTTTAATTATTATATTATAAATGGGATATTTTATCAATGAAATCTTTTAATTATCATTATGATTTTCAAAATATTTTTTTAAAATTTAATTTTAAATCTTTACTCTTTCAAAAATTAGAAGAAGAATATAGAGAAATTTTGTTTTATTTGTAATGAAGATTAGAAATAAGGACATTAACTATACATTAATTATAATTATGCACTATAATGATAAAGAATGTTATTAGTTATACTAAAAAAAATATTGATCAAAATTATTGTAGCTTTTTAATATAAGAAAACAAAAAACATTCTATACATTTTTTTCATATTTTATGTAGAGAATGTTGCAATGTTGACATTGTGACATCATTTTCAATATTTATAATAATATATATAACTTTAGTCTTAATTATTGAAGCGTTAATACAGATATTAATAACTTTCAATATTGATGAGTAATTTTTTGTTGCGCAATATCTTTGTTATTTTCAAAAAACAAAGAAACAATCATAGCGATATTATGTAGTTCGTTTTTATCTAAGATATATCCAAATATTAAGTAAAAAGAATATTAATAACTATTATCGATTTTACATATCACATGAGCACGTATTATTGCGATAATTGTAATAATGAAAATAACAATATGGATGTTGATATTGATGTTATTAATATATATATATATATATAAATTCTTTTGACACATATAAAATCTTATGTAAAAAATTATTAATTAAATAATACATAATGAGATATTGCAATCTTAATTGCATTGAAAGAAATATTAGCTTTTGTATTTTATAAAAGCAATTAAATATGTATATCGAATAATGATTTTTTTATTCCATCTTACTATTCATATTTATTCATATAAACATGCTTTTTAATATTAATATTGATATATTTTTTAGTATGCGATCAATAATAAAAAAAAATATTTTCTCTATGTTTCATTTCACCTTAATAGTTATTGTTAATAATTATATTTTATATTAATAATGAATATTTTGAATTTGATACTGTGAATAATAAAAATTTTCAATAATATAAATAAATTGCTTTCGTAATATGAATTCTATGATAATATATTTAATTTCTATTTTCATTACATTACATTTATTATTTCATTACATTTTATTATATTAATTATTATTCTTAAAAAAAGTTTTCTAAAAAATTTGTCGAATCAATTGAATACTTTATTAATACTACATATATTCATTGATAAAGATTTTAAAATAGATATAAAAATGTAGCAATAATTCGAAGTCAGAAATTCAGGATAAAAATATTTTTGTAATATTAATCTTAAATGTTTCATTACTATAATTACTATAATTATTATTTCAATACGTATAGATAATAAATTTTATGAAACAAATATGAAACAAATTTTAATTCTATGATAAAAATTAAAATAATTTCCTTAATAATTATTAGACAAGTATTGGTCCTGTATTAGTATCAGTTAATCCTTTCAAACAAATGCCATATTTTAGTGAAAAAGAGATAGAAATTTATCAAGGAGCAGTAAGTAATAATAAATAAATTATTTATTTTTTAAATTATGAATTTATTTTTATATGATATTTATATACAATTATATTAATTGTTGTCTTCTTTTATTTCAGGTACCATATGAAAATCCACCTCATATTTATGGATTAACAGACAATATGTATAGAAATATGTTAATTGATAAGGAAAATCAATGTGTTATTATTAGGTAAAGTAATTTTATAATTCAGATAAAATTTGTTTTTCATGAAATAGTTTATATACATTGTTTATATTTTTTAATTTAGAATTTATATTTTTTAATTAGAATTTAGAATTAGATATATTGTGTTCAATATTTTTAATAAAACGTTTAAAAAATCTTTATTAATCTATAAATATATATTATACATTTTTTTATATTTTTATTTGTAAATTATGTTTTTGCAAATTACGTTTATAATATTAACTTAAAAACTCCCAAGATAAATATATATTGCGATAAGAAAGTAATGAAATTATTAAAAATATAATATTAAAAATACAATTATTAAAAATAATATAACAATATATAAGATTATAAATTTTTTATTTTTTTTTCAAAGTAGTTTTCGAAAAATTCAATTCAACATTTATATCGCTTATTTTTTTTATTATATTATATCGCTATATTTAATTGTTTAAAAGAGTCATTTTGTTTGAATCATGTTTAATTGCTCTAAGAAATCAAAAAATATAAAAAATAATAATAAAATTGAAAAAAAAAATTTATTAAAAAAATATATTTTTTTATTAAAAATTTTTTATTAAAAATTTATTATTATAAAAAATATTTAATAAAATAAAAAAATTTATTTCAATTTCGTTATTTCTAAAATAGAAAAAAGAGAATCATATGATTAATTAAATTTTAATTTTTTAACGATTATTAAATAATAAAATAAAATCAATGATAATTCTATTTTTTTATATTAATATATTTTTTAATTTCTTTTTTTATTATAAAAATTTTTTTTTATTATACAAAAATCAATTTTAATTTTATATAACCTTTAGGATTGTGGAAAATAAAATAACTTTATGTATCCGAAATTTGTAAAATTTAAAATAATATAATACAAATAGAACAATGATTTATAACGCAAAGTAATTCAAGCTAATAAAACAGAGAATATAAAACATAGAAAATAAAAATATTTAGTAATATTTTTTTATATATGTAAAATAAATCCTTTCTAATATCTATTATTATTAATATGTCTTATTATTAATTTTTTTAATATTTAAAATATAATAAATTTTTTTAATTTAATCAACAAAAAATTACGCATAATTTAATTATTTTATTTATTTACGTTTTACAGTGGAGAATCTGGCGCCGGTAAAACAGTTTCAGTAAAATATATTATGTCATATATTGCTAAGATCAGTGGTGGTGGTACAAAAATGCAAAAAGTAAAAAATGTCATTTTGGAATCTAATCCTCTTTTAGAAGCTTTTGGCAATGCAAAGACAATACGGAACAATAACAGTAGCAGATTTGTACGTAAATTTATAGTTACTTTTATTTTACTACTTGTAATTATTTTTAATATATTATTATTTTATTTATATCTTTACTTTAATTTCTTTTAATTTTAATTTTAAAGTTTTTAATTTTATTTTATTAATATAAATGAAAATAGAAAAAATAGAAAATACTTTAATAAAATAAATGAGCAAATATCTGTGAAATATATTTTTTATTTCAGGGAAAATATGTAGAAATGCAATTTGGTCCTGGTGGCCAACTCAATGGGGGAAAAATTTCAAACTTTTTATTAGAAAAATCGAGAGTCACTTGTCATAATTTGGATGAAAGAAATTTTCATGTGTTTTATCAGCTTGCAATAGGGGCAAATCAACAAATGAAATGTAAATAAAAATTTTTTTTTAATTTATTGCATAAATATTTGTTTACTATTTTATATACATAATTTATGATTATATAATAATAAAAATTTTCAAATAAATTTAGAAAAATTATTGTTCATATTATATTCATATTTTTTTGTTTTGCTTTCTTAAAATAAATTTTAATTTTAATAAAATTAATTTTAATAAATTTTAATTTTAATATTTTCAATTTGCAAAGATTGATATTGATTGAATTCAAATTTAATCAAATTTAAAATGTTTATTTTTTCTGTGCTAAGAAATGGATATTTGCAGAAAGTTTTTTTAAAAAATACGATTTTTAAAATTTTTCAAATTTAGATTTGTACAACAAATAATAATAATAGTCATCTTTTAGAATTGAAAAAATTAAATATTTATCTTTTATTTTTTCTTTATATTTTTTTATTTTTTCTTTGAAAATTAGTAAATTAGTAAAATTATATCATTTAAAAAAAGTCTAATTCAATTAAGTTATTATAATTTAAATAAAAATAAATTCATATCCTTATAACATTCTCATAAATTATTTATATATATTATGCTTTATTTGAATTTCTAGAGATGAATCATAAGAATGTTAAAAAGTTTCAGGATTCGAAATATTAAAATTTTGAGTTTCAAAGATTTTGAAGTTTCAATATTTTATATCCTATCTCTAATATTGATTCTATAATATGCATAATAATATGCATTTTTTATGTTACAAATTCCCTTTATTTTTATTTTTTTGTGATATGTCACATTTTATAGTTTTATAAGTTTAGTTTTTTAAAGTTAATATTTTAGTTATAGTTTTTTAAAGTTAATATAAATTATTACAATTAAATGATTAAATTTTTAAATACATTATATAAATAAAAATAAATTTCGAATGTTTTATAGAAGATGAAAAAAAATACATGATAATAATAAAAATAATTATTTAAAATAATAATTAAAATAATAAAAATATTTATTGAAATATTCTAAGTTATTCACTTTTTAATTATTTCAAATTTTATAAATAAAAATAAGAGGATGTAAAGCAAATGATAATGTTTTTTTTTTTTAAATTTTACATATTATATTTACATACTTACATATAAGTATGTAAGTTTAAGTTGTTATATAATGCATTTTATATATTAATTTTTCTTGTTATAAATTTAAAATTATATAAATAAAATTATTAAACTTAAAATTTATTTTAATACGTTTTATAATATTTTGAAAAGATTTTGATTTTATTCGAAAAATTGATTTCATATTAATCATTTAATTATAATATAAATTTTTTCACAATTTCTTATTATATTAAAACAATTATTAAAAAATTAATACATACGAATATTAATGTAATATGAAAACTTTTTATAAATTATAATAAAAATTATTTTGTATTTTTAAAATATAGATGTATTAAATGCGTTTTTCATATAATATATATATAATTTTATATTTTTCAGCTGAATTTGGATTAACGAATATTAATTATTACCAATATCTCAATTATGGTCAAGGTCACAAAATTTATGACATAAACGATGCCAGTGCCTTCCAAGAAACATTAAAAGGTAACAATTTTTTTTATAACAATTCTACATCGAGAAGTAATTACATTAAAATAAATATAATTACATATTAATAAAACAACGAAAAAATAATTTATAAAATCTTTAAGATAACATAAAACGATTAAGATTTTTACAATAGGAAGGTTCTTATAGATCAATTGTATTTATTTCATCAATTTATTATATTATTTCATCATATATTTATTTAATTTTTATGCGAAAAATTTTTAAATGATTTTAATTATGTATAATGAATCGATGTATAATATTAACTATTATCATATAATAAATCATTTAGAAATTTCAATTATAAATTTTTCATTTATATTATAATATATTATATTATAATTAATTATATATTATGTTTGATTTTTATGATTTTTTTTTTCTTTATATCTTCAATATTTTCTGTTTCTAGAAAGTTCTTCTGAATGAGATGAAGAATAGAAAAGATCTTTTATTTATTTAAAAAACTCAGAATAAAATGAATAATCTTTATTTAAGAAATAAAAGTAATTAGAATAAAAAACAAATATGTGTAGTATATTGAAAATCGTGATTTTAAAATTCTTTCTATATTCTTTCGTTTTTTTATTCTTTATTCTCTGTTTTCTTCTTTATTCTCTTGGTTCTTATATTAATTATTTATATTAAAAATAAAGAAGTATAATTTTACATATCTCGAATGAATAATTATGAAGATAACACAATATGATTAAGAACATTATTTTTTTGTATAATTTATTCTATTTAATAAGTTTTATTTTGGATTTTTATAAAAAAAATCTTATTAAATTATTAGATTAAATTATCAAATTTTATTAAATTAATAAAATTAATTATTGAATAAAATAAAAATTTTACAAATTTTAATTTATATACAGTATTATTTAATTTGTTAATAATAATTGTTAATTGACAAATTGTATTACGTTTATTACTTTTTTTTTCGTATTTTAAATTAATGGTAATGTTATGTTCTTAAGACTTATAAGATTCAGTAATTATTATTCAGTAATTTATATTTATTGTTATTATTATTTATATTTTTATGTGTTTCAGGACTCGATGTAATGGGAATTAGCAATTCCGAAATAACTGATATTTTCAGACTTGTTGCTGGAGTACTTCATATAGGAAATATTAAATTTGTTGAGGATGGAAATTATTCACAAGTAGCTAATGAACAGTGTAAGTATTAAAAATAAAAAAAGTTATAATTCATTATGATATAGGAAGAAACACATGTATGTATGTAAATATTATAAATTATTATTATTTTAACATTGAAAAAAAATATATTAATAGTATTATTATTGAGAAATTAGTTATCTTTCAATCTTTAAAAAATATATGATAAAAGTTATGCATTATTATTTTTTTAATATTTAATCCATTAAGATTCAATATTAACATAATTATTTATTTTATTTATAATTTTCTTTAAACAATATATTATATTGATATAATTGTATTATATTTTTTAAAATTGTAATTATGAAAAATTTATGTAACATTTTTTTATTTTTTGTTTTTTTAAAATTATTATTATAAAATTCTAAAAGTTTAAATTACTATAATAAAAAATTTTATGTTTTTACTTTATGCAATGAGTTTTCATATGATATTTATTATTATAATTGTATATTTATGTATATATTATGTATATTTATTATTATAATATGCATTTATTTTATATTTATTTTATTTTATTAAAATAAATATTAAATTAATAAATTATTTATTATTTATTAAATTAAATATTACGAAATATTTCACTATTGATATATTAAAATTTTTAATTTTTGAATTTAATTGATATATTAAATTTTTTTATATATTAAAATTTTGCTCTTAAACGCAACATATTCTATACAATTAAATTATTTTCAATTATTTGAGCTATTCATTTTCATTCGTTCATATAGGAAAATTTTTTAGTACCCATTATTATATTTCAAATATTTTTATATATTTTTAATAATTTTTAATTGTTAATAATTTAAAAAAATCTGATAACATAATTTTTTTATTTATATCTTATTATTTTTTTAATTTTTCGACTTGAATAATTCTTAAAATCTTTGGACTTATAATAATAGTGAATTAGTTGTTTAATTGAATATTAAATTATTAATATTAGATTATAATGACTATATCTATTATTTATTATCATATATTTATCTTTATTTCAGGTCTTGATTTTCCAGCCTATTTACTTGAGATTTCAGTAAAACAATTAGCACAAAAATTAATATCACGTGAATTTGAATCTAAATGGGGAAGTCAATCTGAAAGTGTTGATGTTACATTAAATGTGGAACAAGCCCTCTATACTCGCGATGCATTGGCAAAAGATATCTATGCTAGACTTTTTGATTATTTGGTTAAAGTAAGTATACATATATTTTTAATGATTAATCAAATATTTTATTATTATATTTATATATTATATATTAAATTGATCATTAAATTTTACATAATAAATCTTTACTGTTAACACCTAATAATTACATTAATTGTTTAAATAATTTAAATTAATATTGTTTCTTTCTAATTATAATTTATTTTTATAAAATTATTTTTCGTACTTACATTACAAAAAATACAACATTTAAAATATTAACATTCATAAATTATTGACAATTGATATTATTGTAATAATTTTTATTAATTATATTAAAAAATGTTTGCAAGAGCATTATAATTATAATTAAAATTCTTTAATTATAATTAAATTATAATTAAAATTCTTTATTTTGTGTAGTTATAAATTAAATTTTTATATTTTTATTTATAAAAATTCTTTCTTAATAAGAATAGTAGATTTTTATTTATTTATATAGTATGTTATAAACCAAATTTGAATTATAATAATTTCTAGAGAAAAATATAAGAGGAAAATGAAAAATAATATTAAGTAATAATATTAAATTATAAATTATATATAAATAGATACAAACTATATGATATACATTAATATCTATTTACTTAAATTATTAGTATATAATTAGTTTTATATAAAATTGTAAGAAAAAATATATAAAATAAAATATGAAAATCTTTATTAAAATTACATGTATTTAAAAAAATATAAAAATAAGATTAAAATTTGAATATATATAGGAATATATTAATATATTTGTGAGATATTTTTGAAAGATCAATTCTGGGGATTAAAACAAATACAAAATTTGTTGTAAAAATGTTGAGATATAATTTATTTATTAAGTTACAAGCAATATAAATATTAAATTTATTGTAAATAAAGAAAGAATGAAATACTAGTATGATAGAAATAGTATTGTCTCTTTGTCTTTACCTTGTGTTTTTGACATATAATATCTAATCGAAATATTCCAAATTTCATTATTACATATATCTATTATCTACAAGGTGATTTTTAATTTAATTACATATTTATGTTCACAGAAAGTTAATTCAGCTATGGAAATTAATACAGAAGGTCTTGAAATTGGGATTTTGGATATTTATGGATTTGAAATTTTTGAAAAAAATGGTTTTGAACAATTTTGTATTAACTTCGTAAACGAGAAATTACAACAAATCTTCATAGAACTTACTTTAAAAGCTGAACAGGTAAGTGTGATTTTCATTTCAAATTTTTAATATATAATTCAATAATTTAATATTGAATCTTCAATAAAAAATTTGATGTTTGATAATTCTACTTCTATTTAAAATTATCTTAAAATCTTTTAAATATATATAGAATAAATAAATATATATATATATATAATCTGTAATATAATTAATTATAATAGAAAAAATATATCTATTCAATTCGGAATATTTTTATATAATCTTTCAATAGCAATTTATATTTGAACTACTTTTAAAAATGTTTTAAATAGATTTCTTTCTGATTTTATAAATTAAAATATATCTTTTAAAATGATGAATGAAATATTTTTATATTTTTTACTTATAATAAACATATAATTGTATCATGAACTTGAGTATATCATATCAAATGATTATAGCCAAGTTATTGAATTAAATTAAATAAAAGATATACATTATTTATAAAATTAAAATATTATTTAATAAATCATAATTCTATCATAACTATTTATTTTTTATTTTTATTTCAAACAGTAAAATTTTATAACACTTTATTCTATAAATTTTGTTTTCTATAATATTGTTTTCTTTATTCTCTTTACATATTTTTATTTATAAATATACAAAATAATACATGTATGTACATTACTGCTCATAAATATTCGGACATTCAATTTATTTATAATAGTTTATAATAGTATATTAAAAAATATATTTATCATCATTATAAAAATAAAAAATATAATTTTTTAAAAAATTTTTTTTTATAATCTGAATTAAGTACGCGATCACTGTCCATAGATATCACTATTTAATTAATAATTTTTTAATTTAGAAATTAAATAACCAAAAATAAACTTTTTTTATAACAAAATAATTTCACTTACTAAATTATAATTTTCCATTAGATAATTATGATAATAAAAAAACTAATCGATTAGTATTCATTTTTTTACTTGTAAAATAAAACATTATTTATCTAAACTTATTTTAAGAGAAATTATATTAAATTATATTAATTATATTATTTAATTATAATAAATATCAAAATATAAGTAATAAATATTCTTATTGTTAGAATTAAATTAAATTTTAAATATTCGTATATAAGAGCTCTCATCAGGCTAATTTATTCGCAAATTTATATAATATATAATTGCATTTTATTGAAAATAAAAAAATATCTGAATACTTTTGAATGCTATTGCATCTATAAAAAATTTACTATTGTTTATAATTATACATACATATAATAAAATTATTTTTGTATTAATTTGTAAATTGAAAGGTAAGTGATTCTTTGTACAAAAATAAATTAAAAAATAAAATTAAATACTTTCGAAACTTTATTTTTTCAAAATTGATTTTTTAGTGAGTACTAATATTATGATCGTCTTAGATACAATTGTGTCGTTTACGGATTATGAAATATATAAAAAAAATTTTAATTTATATTTTTTATTATCTCCTAACAAAAGTGTTGACCGTAATTGATAATGTTCTAACAAAAGAAAATGATTGAAAAATAATTAATATTATGTAAGATTTAATATCTGAACTGGATTTTAATTTTATATTTGTAAGATCATTCATTGCTTTGAAAAAAAATTTCATTATTTATCTATAATATAACATCTAGAAATAATAGATACATATAAAAGATGGCGTTTTTGATGAAATTTATCTTATTTTCAAAGTTTATCCATCAAGCTTCTGTTTTGAATAGATTTTAATGAAAATTAATATGATAAAAACCTAATATGATATTTCTCTATGATATTAAAAATAATTTTAAATTTTAAAACAAAATAATAAAACAAAAATTTAAAATTTTATATATAAATTTAATATTTCTATTTATTACAGCTAAAATCAACGACTTGTATTTATTATACAATATCAGCTCTACAATATCTGTAAAACAAAAAAAAAAAAAATAATTCACAGACACTCATTTTTAGAAGTGTATCTTTCTTCATAATTTCTATATAACATACATATTTTTATATATACTGTAAATATATTTATGCAAAATTTAAATATATAAAAATTTACAAAAGTTACATGACGTGCATAAAATATTCGAAATATGATATATATTATGATGTTTAAAGAATAAAGAAAATTTCTATTTAAGCTCTATTTCCTAATTCATATTTATAAAAATTTGATTTTGCATAAACATTTACAGTCTATTCGTAATTTAATATTCTATATAATAATCATATTCTTTAATTTAATTGTACAAAATAAATTTATTTACAAGTAAACTGATTTAAAATAGTGAACTTTTTGAAAATATCAACAACAATTATTCATATTTTTAATATGAAAAAATTTTCTATAATACGAATAATCTAATTGATATAATAAAATTATTAATATTGCTTGTATTTAAGAGATATCCAATATTTCTTCATTTCTCAGACCTGAGAAAAATATTTCAAGTAAATAATTTGTACATTTTGAAAATTATCAAATATCGGAAAAATTATATTCCGGCAATATATTTGTTCTTCTTAAAGCGTATCTTTGAACAGGAGTTGTTTGCGCCATTAATATTCTGCTCGGTAATTTTGATGGTGGTGCAGGTATTTGTTTCGGTAACTCGCTAGATGTCACCATAGAACTCTCGGTAGTGGAGAGATCTTCCAAACCATATATTACAGCTACTTTATTAAGTTTCTTTATTTCATTCTTCGAAAGATGTTTCTTATATTCACGTTTCGTGTTAATTTGATGCTCGAATTTCTTTAACGGATGAATTATTTTATTGTAATGAGATTTCCAATCAGTTTGCCTTTCTAGAGGAGATGTCATTCGAAGAAATTCTATAGGATTGTTACTGGAAGTCGTTTTAGGACGATTATTACCTTTTTGAAAAGAACCGCTATGACCTCGTACGTTCACATAAACTTTTGGTCTGCTACTTTTTAAATAATAAAACTTTTCATCAAGATTTTGAAGTTTCGGAAGACCTAAAATGCGTCTGTCTTCGTTAACATTCATCTTGAAATTTGAGGTTAGACCAACATCTCTTACACCGAAAATTGAATGTGATATCACTTCCGGATGAGGATAAGTTTCATTTTGAATTTGTTCAGATTGTTTCAACATTACGTGTATAATATTTTGAAGATTAGCAGCATTCATTTCATCCGGACTTTGGAGTTCGATTTCTACGAGACTGAAAAAAATATAATTTTTTGTAACTTTTATTTTTTAGTTTATTTCAAACTCATATTTAATATTAATTGTGTTAATTCTTAGTTTATTTATATTTAATGATTAAAATCTATATTGTTCAGATTTTAGATTTATATCATAAAAAATAATATGAATTGATTTTGATAGTAAAATAAAATTTGATTCATATTCAAATTTAATAAAATAGATTTGCAAAAACGAAAATATTCGAATTACATTATATATATATATATATATATAATAATTTAATATATTGAGAATAATGTTATTATATATAATATATATATTATAATATATTATAATAATAATAATATTACTATTATTATATTAATATTTATGAATATTTTATTTTTTCATTTAAAATCAAAAATATATACCTAAACAATACATATACATATAAATATTAATACGTATAAATATTATATATAGATAAATAGTTTATATACAAGCTAATACAATATTTTTATTAAATAATTACTGATAATTTGGCTCAAATTTGATTTGAAAAAAAAATCTAGAAATCACATAAGAAAGTTATTAATACTTACGAACAATTTTTGTAGTTAATAGTAGAATTATAAACAAATATTAAAATTTGGGAATTTTTTTGTGATATAATGAATCATAAAACCAATTTTGCAATCAATTATATTTTTATATTATAAATAAAAATTATCTTGATAACTGTAATAGTAATATGATTTTAAAACTAGTTAGAGAATAAATGGAGAAAATATGCTTAATATTAATAGCTCTTATAAAGTTAAAAGAATAAAATAATAACTTAATTGTAAATATAATTATTATACCTGTAATCGTTGGTATTAGCTCTTTCCACATTAGAATTTTGTAAGAAATTTTGTAAATGCTTTCCCTCATAGAATTTTTGATCATTTTCTTTTCGATCAAAGCGTTGAATATAATTTGGTGAAGAAGGTGGCCTTGGAAGAACCATAGCTGAGAATGATCGATGTATGAGTGCAAAGAGCACCGTTGCCGTATAATAATTGATTGCTGCTAACATTCTGGAATATGATTTCATATTTTTAATATTTTGTTTTTAAATTTTCTAATTTTAGACAGTTGTCAAAAAATATTATTATTATTATTCTTAAATTTAAAAATTGTAGAAATGCAAATTTATAATTATAATTTTCCTGCTAATTATTATGCAAATAAAAAATATTTATGTATTAATATATCATTTTTTCAAAATTAATTATTAGATAAAAAAGTTTTTGATTCATTCTTTGATAATAGAGAAATATATAATAAAATAAAAAACTATTTATAAAATTTATGTATAATTACATGTATTGGATATATGTTTAAAATTATACATTTTAGCATAATTCTGTATTTAATTATGATTCAATAAAGACGAATTCAGTATTTTCAAAAAATATTATAAGATTCGTATATAAAAATTTCTTTCTGAAAATTCTCTTTCTGAATTATTAAGAATATGTTAATATACATTTATGATATAGATGGATATCTATGGATATATATATATATTTATGATAAGATAGATATCTTTGGAAAATCTAAAAACCAAAGAAAAAAGTTATACAAAAATATCAGATTGAATTTTATTCATTAAATTATAAATAATTTAATTCTGAATTTGTTAGATGAAACTAAAGTCATTTTATTTCCATCTTGCATCTAACATAAACTTAAATAATTTATAATTTAATAAATTATAAAGTCATAACCGATTTTTATATATCAAATGTTTGTTTTAGTTTCTCGACATGTTCCATGAATATATTAACATACTATATGTGAAATGTCTGATAAATGTA